TTGGCAAAATCCTGAATTCCAATTTTAACTCTATGTCTTCTGAAATTCAATAGAACCCGATGAAGAATTCACTTTGAAAAGGCAGAGGACTACACCTCAAACCTTTACGTTCTCATTTAGATAACAATATGACGTTTCATGATTCACATGCAGTGCTTACATGTAGATAATTACTTCTACCACTATTTTTGCTAAATCATTGTCTAAAAGCATGATTTTAACTCTGGGAGATATAACAAATAATAAAGTAAGCTTACCTGTTCACAGACATCCCGGCACATTAGATTGTCCTTCGCATGGTAACAACAAGACAGGCCTACAGAAAAGCAAGGAGAGGAAGATGGTGTTTAAAAGACTTGAAGTACTTTACTATTTCCTCTGAAAGAGAATTACTCAGCTGATGGATGACCTATCAGAATGATCTGCCTGGTCCACTGATTACTGTGAGAAATTTTCCCTCCCAGAAAACAAAACAACAAAACACAAAAACCAAAAAATCCAAGAAATTTTTGTTTCAAAGCTGACACTGACTCATTTTGCCCAGCCTCACACTGAACATTTACTTCCAGCCCAGGAGCAGCACCATGTGCTTTATGCTTCCAGCCATGTTTCTGCTCTTTGATTTGCATGAGCTTAGCACCTGCCAAATCCCCTCAGGAGGCAATGTGATAGAAAAGCGATACTGTATGTATAAAAACTGTATTTGGCAATATGTAGTTATGAAAATCAGTTTGATTTTCATGGGATCAATATGAGGGGTTTTAGGCATGAATTCTCTGATATGTTCACAGCTTACAAAGTTTCTCATCCAAAAACTTCTAGTTGTTAGAAGAAAACAGCCATCAACAAACCCAAAATTCTTCAATACTGAGAGGATGCTAAAAAAAAAAAAAAAGATAAACAGAAGAATTCAGCTTGAAAATGTCAAGGAACTGGAAAAAAAAATCATAATATCAACCAAAGAGCTGTCACAATCTAAAATAGCTACTACACTTTTGAACTATGTTTTAATGCTGAAATCTATACTTCATGAAGCGAAGATGAACTGAAATTTAACTCATAAGTTCTGAATGTTTTCATTAGTAAATAGAAACAGTGCAGCAAAACACCTGTAATTAATGTAGAAAGCCTCAGTCTTTAATAGTAAGATTAGTTACTCCCTGGGCGCATAGCCCCCTGCGCTGGTAGATAGGGATGGGGAACAGAGAAGGCCCTGCATAATCCATGAGGAAATGATTTTGGACCTGCTCTTAAAGCTGGACACTCGCAAGTCCATGGAGTCTGACGGATTGCACCCTAGAGTGCTGAGGGAGTTGCTGGATGTGTTTGCCAAGCCACTCTCCATTATCCTTTGGCAGTCCTGGCTAACCGGGGATGTCCTGGGGACTGGAGACTGACAAATGTGACACCCATCTTCAAAAAGGGCTGGAAAGATGATCCTGGTAGCTACAGACCTATCAGTCTCACCCAGTGCCAGGGAAGGTCATGGAATGGATAATCTTGTGAGCCACAATGGAGCAGTTAAAGGTCAACCAGGGAATCAAGCCCAGTCAGCACGGGTTCATGAATGGTAGATCCTGTTTGACAAATCTGATTTCATTCTATGACAAGGTGATCCTCTTATCGGACGAAGGTAAGGCTGTCAATGTGTTTTGTCTACCTGGACTTCAGTAAAGCCTTTGACACTGTCCTACACAGCATCCTCATGGAGTAGCTGGCTGCCCATCATTTGGATGGGCATGTGCTCTGCTGAGTGAAACACTGGCTGGATGGCCGGGCCCAAAGAGCTGTGGTCAATTGAGTTAAATCCAATCCGGTCATGAGCAGTGTCCCCCAGGGCTCGGTACTGGAACATCTTCATTAATGGTCTTGACGAGGGGATTGAGTGCACCCCTCAGTAAATTTGCAGACGACACCAAGTTGAGAGGGAGTGTTGATCTGCCAGAGGGGAGAAAGGCACTACAGAGGGACCTGGAAAGACTGGATGAATGGGCCAAGGCAAACTGTATGAGTTTCAATAGGGCCAAGTATCAGGCCCTGCATTTTGGTCACAACAACCCCAGGCAACCCTACAGGCTTGGGGAGGAGTGGCTGGAAAGCTGCCTGATGGAAAGGAACCCTGGTGTACTGATGGACAGTGGGCTGAATATGAGCCAGCAGTGTGCCCGGGTGGCCCAGAAGGCCAATGGCATCCTGGCTTGGAACAGGAATGGTGTGGTGAGCAGGACTAGGGAAGTCATCCTGCCCCTGAATGTGGCACTGGTGAGGCCTCACCTCAAGTACTGTGTTCAGTTTTGGACACTGCAGTCCAGAAAGGACATGGAGGTGCTGGAGCAGGTCCAAAGAAAGGCAACAAGGCTTGTGAAGGACTTGGAGAACATGTCCTAGGAGGAGAGACTGAAGGAACTGGACCTGTTTAGTCTAGGGAAGAGGATGCTGAGGGGAGACCTTATTGCTCTCTTCCAATATCTGAAAGGTGTTTACAGTGAGAGTGGGGTTGGTCTCTTCTCACTGGTGACAGGTGACAGGATGAGGGGAAATCATTTAGGTGGGCTATCAGGTCAAACATCTTTACAGAAAGGGTTGTTAAGCACTGGAATAGGCTCCCCAAGGAGATGTTTGAGTCACCATTCCTGGACGTGTTTAAAAACCGTTTGGATGTGGTGCTCAGGGACATGATTTAGTGGTGGGTTGTTGGAGTTAGGGTAGTATGGTTGGGTTGTGGTTGGACTTGATGATCTTCAGGGTCTTTTCCAACCTGAGCAATTCTATGATTCTATGATTCCCTGCACACTGTTCCTCAGGACAATCTGACCAGTATCAGTTTCATCATTAATTAGCACGTTCTACAAATTGTAATTGTCATTGGTAATGCCATCAGATTGAAAACATATTAACATAATGATGGGGAAAGGATTCATAGTGAAAAAATATCCACCAAATTAACTGTCAAAATAAACAAC